TACTTGAACGTATTCGGTATAGATATCCTTCTCGATCAGTTTAGCTGCTTTCTCACACCATATAGCAGACTTTACCCAAAAACCAAAAAACAGAGAAAGACATATTGTTGATTGACTGACTACAATAAAATCATATAACAGATTAGAGCAAACGCTTACACCGCACCAAGGAACAGAGGAGATTCCAGCATGAGGACCTGCTAAAGATATGTAATTGTAAACCGGAGGCGCATCATCGCAGAACTCGATCAGCCCTCGAGCCACTAGATTCCCCTGTTGTTCCATCATCATTCATGAAACTTTTTTATAAAGAGTGTAAGATAAAAAGAAACTGTCATTTTTCTTTTGTTTTTTTGTGTTCAAGAAACCTGAGATCTTGCAACAATGTTGTATCCTTGACGTAACACTTCCATTTGCTTCACCTTCTCACACACGATTTCTGCTTGTTTCGTAAGCGGCATGAGCCATGAATCGCTTTTTCCATTTCCAACTTCTCTGGATTCATAAACCAAACGAGACTTGCATCAAACCAAATACATCACCATGCTTGGCCACTGTAAATAGCAAAAATACACAAACTTACAAGCAAAAGCCAGGAGAGCCAGAGAGGTTAGTGAGAAGCCGTGGGAAGTTAGAATTTGTATGATCAGAACATTCAGCTGAAATTCCATGAATCAATATGAAAGGAACTGAGACAGATACATGAATCAAGGCTAAGAATGCAACAGCCACCGCGACACCAAACCGCTTCTTCCCCATAGAAAACGCGAAAAACAAAAGTTACGATTGGTGTTTAAGGTTTCTTCTTTATGTCTCTCCAAGAAATTTTGAGATGGGAATCTACTTTATATAAAGGGAATAGAAAGAGTGTGATGTAGTTAGAAGTTGCGGACAAGTAAGTAACAAGTACGTATATGAGAACAAAATGGACGGTGCCGATTTGATTTAAATGTTCAATGTGAAATGGACGGTGATGTTCTTCCATTCGATCGCATTAACTCTCTTCTTCATTTCCTTCTTGAAAGGGAATTGTTGCATATGAAAGAGTACTTCACTTTCAGGGTATTAATTAGTAAAACCATCATGCTGGTTGGTTTAGGTGCCACTTGAGCCACTGGGGTCGCTAAAAAAGAATAATCAGCTACGTCAAGAGCCATTAGGAGGCCTCAGCAGTTTTGTTACAATATGATTAACATTTTGTTAACACTATTCCTCATCTCTAATGTTTGTGGTTTAGCTTATGCCTGAAATTTGTATATCTGACTTACCTGCAACACCAGAATTGTTCTTTGCACCCAGGGAGACTTGTGAACCGGTTGAGTTAGTAGAGGAAGCCCCTTTCAACAAGAAAAAGTGTTTATATAATAATTAAATATTATTCAGACTATGTGTGGATAACATAATCTGTATTTAGACAAGAAAACGTGCGCTAAGACGTGCATAGCAAACATTCAAGAAAAAAAAAAAAAAAGAAGCAAACATTCAAGATTTGCATACCATTTTCTTATACAAAACTCGAAAAAAATTCAAGATTTGGAAATCTGGGTTTTTTGTTTGTTTGTTTCCATTGACGATTTCGTGCTTTTGATAGAAATCATCATAAACCACAATGCACAATAAATAGAATCTCTTTTCGAGCCTCTCTCAAATCTTCTGCGATCACCAGAATCAAGAATGGCTGCACCAAAGCTGGAATCTTTCAGGCGGGGAAGTATGTTCGACGGATCATCTTTCAGGCGAACTAGTATGTTCGATGGTTCGTTTAGACAAAGCTTAAGAGATAGGCTTATCCCACAACAGAGCAGAGGCTATTCCTATGTCGTTGACGTTGACATTAACAACGATAAAACTCCAGTCCGTTGCTGCTCCTACAGGTTCTACATTTTACATACAATCGATCTCTCCTTCCTTCCAGCAACGTTATTGACAAGATACTTTGAAGAACTTTTATCGAAGTTTGATGCCTCTTGGAATCAAATCTCAATCTTGTAACAACAATGTCAAATGGTTAAGCCTTGAAATGATATGGTTGTTTGCAGGTACTTCTACGACAAGATCACTGCGTTTGTGGAGAAATCACAGAATGTGTTGGTTACGGCGTGGGAGATGGGAACATCTGACCCGAGGAAGATCATATTCTCGGCAAAGATGGGTTTGGCTCTGACAGTCATCTCCATTCTCATTTTCTTTAAGCTCCCAGGATCAGAGCTCAGCAACCACTATCTCTGGGCCATTCTCACAATAGTTGTTGTCTTCGAGTTCAGTATAGGTAAATGCACCAGACTTACCAGATCAAATTTGAACATTCTAGAGAATTCAATATCCTCTCTTGTTTATGTAGGAGCCACCTTTAGCAAAGGATGTAACCGAGGACTAGGAACATTGTCTGCAGGAGGATTGGCGCTTGTCATGGCTGATTTATCCGATAAGACTGGAGGTTGGGCAGAGCTTTTCAATGCTGTTAGCATTTTCGTAGTAGGTATATATATACACATACAGCTCATCTGGTCTTAAACTAAAGCTTCTACCTTTGAATCTCATCCTGATTTCTGACAATATCGTGCACCTGCTCTTGTATCAGCCTTTTTTGCAACTTATGCAAAGCTATATCCAACGATGAAGCCATATGAGTACGGATTCCGGGTGTTCTTGCTGACCTATTGCTACGTAACAGTGTCGGGATACAGAACAGGGGAATTCATGGAAACAGCTGTTTCAAGATTCCTTATGATAGCACTTGGTGGCAGCGTTGGCCTCATTGTGAACACTTGCATTTATCCCATATGGGCTGGGGATGATCTCCATAACTTGGTCGCCAAAAACTTTGTGAATGTCGCAACTTCTTTGGAAGGTTTATTACTCTCTCTGATTGAAAAGCCTAGTCTGATTCTTGTCAAATCCAATCTATAGAAAAGGTTCCTTTGTGCAGGTTGTGTGAATGGATATCTCGATTGCATAGCATATGATAGGGTCCCATCGAGGATTCTGGTCTATGAAGCTGTAACGGACGATCCAGTGTACAGTGGTTACAGATCAGCCGTTCAATCCACAAGCCAAGAAGACACTCTGGTAGGATTCTTGTCACTCATCAAACGTATAACAACATCATCAAAAGACCAACTTACTTCACATTCTCACCTCTTGTCTCTTTTTGTTTGGTTGGTGTGATTGTGAAGATGGGTTTTGCTACATGGGAGCCACCACACGGTCCATACAGATCTTTTAGATACCCATGGGCGATGTATGTGAAAGTAGGTGGTGCATTGAGGCATTGTGCTTTCATGGTTATGGCATTACATGGCTGCATTCTCTCTGAGATTCAGGTACATTAGCTTGTTCCTTCCTCTTTTAAATCTCAAGTAAGAACCCTAAAATCTTCAGAATCTGAGAGAGACTTGCAATGTAATGCAGGCTGAAGAGGAGAAAAGAAAAGTCTTTCGAAATGAGCTTCAAAGGGTGGGAGTAGAAGGAGCAAAAGTACTTAGATACATTGGGGAAAAACTGAAGAAGATGGAGAGACTAAACCCTATTGAAGACATTCTCCACGAGATTCACCAAGCAGCCGAGGAACTACAGAGCAAAATGGACAAGAAATCGTACCTTCTTGTGAACGCCAAGAATTGGGAAATCGGGAATCAGTCAAGGGATTTGACTGATGAGAACGAAATCTCGAATCTCGACGAGGATCTAAGTCGGATCCTGGCTCATAAATCGCAGAGTGAAGCAACGCTTCGTCCACCCACGAATTGGGATACTGGTATAGGTAAGAACACGAATCTGGCTCCGATCCATAGCTACCAAGCAAGGACGGTGATACAGAAACAGCCGTCGTGGCCTAGTCGGGTCTCTTTGGCGCCGGGAAGTATGTTACCGCCGCCACCGGAGGCGATTATGTACGAGAGCGCGAGTGCTCTGTCTCTAGCTACGTTCGTTTCGCTGCTTATAGAATTCGTCGCGAGGCTGGAGAATCTGGTGAATGCGTACGATGAGCTGAGTGAAAAAGCCAATTTCAAAGAACATGTTGCTGAGTGAGGAAGACAACAAAACAAACAAAAACCTCGAATGTAACTTTTTTGCTTTTATAATTTTATATTATTTTAAATTTGTTAGTGCCTTAACAACAATGTCGTTGTAGTATAGTGGTAAGTATTCCCGCCTGTCACGCGGGTGACCCGGGTTCGATCCCCGGCAACGGCGA